GCGTCATAAAGTTTAGAACATAAAATGGATATAAAGAAAACATACTAAATACTCTTAACAAATTTATTTGTGATCGTTTTCTTTAAACTTTTACTTGGCAGCTCGTGCACCGTCTAGCCACCATCCACGTCAAGTGTACTGACCTGAAATGTTAAAATTTGAAGGAATGAGTAAATTTACTCAGTAGGATATGTGCGTCCAAACAATACGATAACTTTTGAAACATGAATTTATAACATTCTATATCATCATTTTATCAAGAGTAATCGGTGATCAATCGAAAGCTCAACACATTTGAGAAGACTTGAAGGCAATCTCACATTTCATTTCATTTCATTGGGACCCGCAAGTCAATTGACATTTCATGTGATAAATCATGTCAAAAAAATTACTATATTGAAAGGACGGAACATCTTGTACATAATATCTTACCTTGATTGATAATAGAAAAGTAAGGAATTCACGTTCCCAAAACCTTTCCGCTGTTGTCGTATCTTGTGGATTTAAAGTTGATCCAGTGGCAGCTTCAACGTGCCAAAATCCTAATTCATTGCCATTTGTTTAGAAACTTAAGCAATTCTCATCCCTAATCACACCACTATTCTACTAAGCTAATATTCCTATACTATTGATGTTGTTATCATTTAATGCTATTTAGAATTAATAAGGACGCAAAAGAAAATTAACTAATTATATATAAAATAGGACTTAATATTCAAGGTCCTAAAATCAGTGAAGAATTGAAGGCGGGTCCCACTATTGAAAAGCATTTGGTTTGCATAGGTACTAACTCAATATAGGCGTTATAGTTTTTAAATTGTCGTTGGTAGAAAAATGCTAGCTTCTTAGTATCTAAATTAGTGGAGGATAAATTCGAAGGTAAGAGGTAAAAAATCAAAGTAGGCAAGGAAGGAGCTTAAAATTGAAATCCTTGATTTTATTAAAAACTGTTTTGATGAAAAATAAACAGATTTAAAGATTTAATGCATGTAAGACTGCCATGCTTTTAAATTTGTGCAAATAATTTGTCAAATCTCCGTTAACCGGAAGACACAATAGATAAACAAAAAGGCCGAAGTAGCAAAAAGTGAATCTTTATCCAAATATTCAGTATGTGTTTAATGAGGTTTAAATAGATCATCAGAATACATATGTACAGGGGCGAATTCAGCATCGGAGTTCAGCTAGGGCGGATTTTGGCTGTTGTCGGTTGATTGTTGACCATCAATGATCGTAATAGCGATACCGTTAAATTTAATTAAATAAATCCAACGTTTGGTATACCAACACAAATACATTATCCTTCTTTGATATACCCAACACAAATTGGCATCGATCAAATATTTTTTTTTTAATTGAACATAACTTAGAATATATCCTTATTCAAAATAATATTGACGAGACTAACTGAAATTGAAGGAATTTATGCAAACTCTACATGCTACTCTTTTCCTTGTCGTAGACAAAAATATTGATTATCAATCAAGAAGTATATGTTCACTTTGAAGACCAAGTCAACAAATTGCCACTCAATTCAAATTTTTTGGGCTATATTCTCCAAGCCCTCACTTCCACTTACATATTCTAGGCATATAAACAATTGAAAAGTGAGATTTCTAATTAAATGATCACACTACACACTACACTCACTCCTGTTTTGGAATTCAATTATTCCTTCATTTCTTAACAACTAAAGTAAATGCCTCTAAACAAAATGGATTCAGAAACAAAATCTCATTTATGAACTAAATTTAGCTACAGACAAGTAAAGGCTCTTGTTTGCACAAAAAGTACAGGGACCTCACCTCAATGCAATGCAATGAAGACAAAAGTGTCAACTAAACTCAAGAATCGAGATCAGCAATAATTTTTCCAGTTATCATAATCTGTATGAAATTAAACATAAATTAAACTTAAAACTTAAACTATCATCAATTTCCAATTTCTAATTTCCAACACTAATTGAACATTTCTCACAAGTCATAAAATTCCCAATTGACAAACCATAGTCACAAATTCACAAAATTTACAAATTTCCCAATTTTCATAAATCATAATCATCACATTTAACATAATAATCAAATTAAGGCATCAAAATGAAAAGGGAAAAAAAAAAAAAAACAGAATAGCTCACCAGACACCAAGGCAAGAAGTCTCACTCGCGGTCGCAGCCACTGGTGATCGACTCACCGTCCACTCAACTCGCATGCCACACGGTTGCACCACTCCAGTGACTCCACTGTCCACCTCCTCATCGCTCACGGTCACAGGCCACACACGCTCACCGGTCACCGTCCTCTCAACTCACACCACTCTGCCAGGCACCAGTCCATAGTCCATTGCCTTCACAATCACAAATCGAAATTGCCCTTTTCCCAGTTTTGGTTTAGCCCTTGGTTTATTGGTTTCAATTTTGGACTTCAAATTGGTGAAGGCAATGGAAATATACTCCAACCATCCATTAATTTCAAGGAATTGGGCCACTGGATTTGGGCCTCATTTTTTTTTTAAAAAAGGCCCAAAAATGAGAAAAAAAAATAGGCCCAATTGCCATCGTCTTCTTCATCAGTTCTTCGGCCTCTGCAGCTCCTTTACCTCCTTTTCGATTTTCTTCCCAGCGGACCGGCTGCTAAGCCTGCTATTTTGTAGATTCCGGCGAAGCCAGCACGGGCGGCCGCGCAAGCTCTCCTGGTGCTGGCTCCGCCATTGCATAATTATGTATGATAATGTGTCGAAGTCTGTGTGGTTATCTAGCATGGATCATTATATAAAGATTAAATCCCAGACTTCCTTTGCTTAATGCGCTATAACGGGGATTGAAAACATAAAATAATATTAAAGATAAAAGTTATAATACCTCAATATGCAAAGTTCCAAGCACAAATAGGATGAAGCAATCTAATAAAGAATTTCCAAGGGATTTAACGTGTTTCCGTCTTCCGAAAGTAGTAAGGGGTGATTTTCTTCCTTTCCCAAAAGTGTATAAATAATATCCCAACTTCTTCTTCTAGAGTATCAATCTCAGGGATAGAATTACGCAAATCTAGATGGCTAGAATTCCATCTCATTGGTCCAAGTAGCTTATCAAGGCCCAAAAATTATGCCTTATCACTAATCTAGCAATTTATGCAAGATTTGCTTAATATAAAGGAGGCATTCAAGGGCATGACTTCTGCCCAATACATAGTTGGCCGTAAATGTAAAAATTTTAAATAAGTCACATGTATATAAAACTAATTTGTTAAATTGATAATTCTAGGTAATGATCCCCAAAATTTTCTACAATTATTTGATTAACCAAGTAATTATTATAGTAGAGTAGAATAAAATTCTAGCACTAAGGCAAGATTTTCTCCTACTAAATACATGTGAATGACCTTCCAAATAAGGTGGACATCAACAATAAATGTTAGTATTCTGATTTTAACAAATTCTAATTTATTGTCACTATTATGATTTCAACAATCAGAATTAAGTTTGCAAGTGAATCTGTCGATGACAAGTGAGTTGTTGCTAGTGATAATAATATTGTCAACATAGAAGAGAAAATATATGATATTAGAGTGCTTATGGAAGACAAATAGTGAAGTATTAGCCTGACTACAATGAAATCCAAGCTGAATAAGGAAAAAACTGAAGCTCTAGAACCAAGCACAAGGTACTTGCTTTAGACCATAGAAAGCTTTTTTCGACCGATGGACATGATTAGGAAAGCAATGATCTATATATCCTGGAGGTTGCTCTATGTAGACATGCTCAGTAAGGGTGTCATTGAGAAATGCATTCTTAACATCAAGTTGGCAAAGAGGCCATTTGTTAGTCATAGCAATAGAGAGTGCATAGCGAACAATGGGAGCCTTAATATCATTGTAGTTGAGACCAGGCACTTATGTATAGCCCTTGGAAACAAGACGAGCTTTGAAATGCGTGATGGATCCATCAAACAAATATTTGGTTCTGAACACCCATTTGGAGCCCACAATATTTGCGTTAGGAGGCATAGGAACTAAAATCCAGGTGCGGTTGTTTTGAAAGGCTTGCATTTTTTCATCCATGGTAGCAAGCCAAGTAGGATTCTTTGCAGCAGATTTGAAACTTTTAGGCTCAATAGAGACAAGAAGTGCACAAAGAAGACCAGAGGAGCCCAAGATGCTAATATTTGCTGAATGGCGAGTTTTGAAAATACTAGCTTTAGCTCATGTGATCATAGGGTGAGAGCCTAATGGAGATGGTGGAGCTAGAGCTGGAGTAAGATCGTGACCTTGAGAGGCAGTGTTAGACTCAATAGGAGATGGTCTAAAGGCTGAGTGTACCAAAGTAGAACCTACATTAGAGTCAATAACTTGCATAGACTCATTCATTGGATCAATACAAATAATACATGAGTTAGATCTGGATGTAGTAATAGAAGGAAAATGATACTCAGGGGGAGATGATTTTGTATGAGATGAGCAGGGCTCCAAAAAATTGGAAAATTTGAGAGACGGGATGGGTTGCGCATGAGAGGTTTCTAAAGAAGAAAAGTAATGTTCATCAAACTGTGCATGTCACGTGATGTATAGTCTAGAACTTGTGGGGTCGAGGCAGCCAAACCCTTTATAGGAAGGACTATATCCCAAAAAATGCATGGGATGCTACGAGGGGAAATTTTGTCAGACATGAAATCTCGCGAACAAGGATAAACATGACAACCAAAAGGATGGAGATTTTCATAATTAGGAGGGGAACCATAAAGAAGCTCAAATGGGGATTTACTTCCAAGGTGCGGTGTGGGCAAGCGATTGATGATGTAGAGTGCAGTGCTGAAGGAGTCAGCCTAGGAGCGAGGAGAAAGATGAGAGTGAAAAAGAGAGCAAGGTCGGTCTCAGTCACATGATGATGTTTCCTTTCAGTACTACCATTTTGAGCAAGTGTGTATGGGTAAGATAGTTGATGATGGATGCCAGAGTTGTGAATGGAAATGATTGCTAGTAAATTCTTCGCTTCCATCACTTTGAAAAGTTTTTATGCATGTAGAATACTGATTTTCCACAAATTTTTGGAATTGAAGGAAAATATTATAAAAATTAGATTTTGAACGCAAAGGGTATAGCCAAGTAAAATGAGAAAAATCATCGATAAAGACAACATAGTATACAAAACATTGGAGAAGGCAATAAAGATGACCTTTTTTTTTTATTTAAAAGAGAGATAATTGAATAATTCACATATCCAAGACGAGCATGCCATAAATCATATGAGGCATGCAATGACTTATTAGTAAGAACAGAAATAAAGATGGGGTTTTCGCACTCCAATACATATAATCCACCAACTCATTCATATAATCCACTACCTCTCCCGTGTGACGATTCTGAACAATAAAGGAATTATTAGTAAAAGTGACAGATAAAGGAAAATCAGAAGTTAATTTACTAATAGACAAAAGATTTTTGGTTAGACGAGAAACAACTAAAACATCAAGTAAATGAAGATTTTGATTGGGAGAGACAGTACCAGTGTAAGTTATAGATAGGGAAGCACCATTTCCTACAATTACACAATCCTTACCAGTGTAATTACTTGAGCGATCTAGAATAGATGGATTGGTGCTCATGTGGGTCGAAGCCCTAGTGTTAAATGCCAATCTGGTGCCTCATTTTCAGATATGGAACATGATTTATTAAAAGCCTTGACGAGATGAGCAGAGTTGTATTGTCGAGTATACCTCTCGTCAGAATGGTCAGCGTAGTGTCCTTTGGTCCGACAAATTTGACATCGCAGAGACGACGTCCTTGGCCAGAGAAGTTTCGTCCATTGCCATGATTGGAGTAGGCCTGATTGCTATTGCATCCGTGATTAGGGCGTGGAAGGTGGCCCTTGTGACTTACATGATTGAAAGTGCGATTCGTGGCACTGAACATTATTGTAGGTGGACTTACAGATTCAAGAGATTTTTGGAACAGTTCAAAGCTTTCAGCTTTGGACATGAGGTCAGTAAAGTAGGGAAAAGGAGTAATCGCCATCTGTGTAATCGAGAATGACGAAAAATTGGCGCCAAGACTTGAAGAAACTGATGGACTTGGTCCATGTCATCAACTAGTCATCCAATCGCATGTAGTTCACAAAGTGCATTAAAGGCATGAGAATACTCAGTGACAGAACGTGTTCCACGCATTATCAATTGGAGATCAATCTCGCAAGCTTTGGAATGGTGGTTGAAGGTATTTTCCAAGGCAACTCAGACCTCATTGGTGGTAGAGAGGCTGATGACCTCAGCCATGGCCTCCTCGGTAAGGGAAGAGAGGAGAAAGCTAAGAAGCTTCTGATAGTTGTTTTCTAGTCTAAGTATTTGGTGTTCGGTGTTTGGGAGGTGGGTAGGTCAAATCGTGGTGGAGGCTCAAGGGTTTCATCTACATGACCAAGTGGTACTTGACTCTCAAGAAGGAAAAGTGGTTGGCTTTTTCACAAGAGGTAGTTTGAGGAGGAGAGTTTAATTGTTACGATGTAGATCATGGAGTTGAAAGAGAAGAGTACGGATTCAGCAGCCATGATGAAATTGAAGGATCAGTGGATGTTAATCCAAGAATGGCTCTGATAACAAGAAAATCTTTGAAGAATAAATCACCATATTCCTCTTAGTGATGGTGAGTTATTTCTATTTATATAGATGTACAAGGTGCTTACAAATCAATCTAGTATATTTACAGCTTAATTACAGTGAAATTGATGGAAAAAATATCCCATAATTGAGCTAGATTAACATATGATTAGGCTAGAATAGTGGGGTTAAATCTATTAGAGGTATTATGCCTTAGATTGGGCCAAAGTATCCTCAACACTTCCAAAATCAAGTCAAGTGCTAAAAAAAAATATCAAAATAGAAAATGAGCTAGGGAAATATAAGAAAAAAAATATTGATTAGGTTTATGAATTACATACTATTTCTTTGAGCCATGCAGGGGTATTTATAGATGAATTTCTTGAGAAAGACAAGATATCAAAATTTTGGTTAAAGAGAGAGCAATCAAATATATGCATATGAATATCCTTCGATTTTTATCTCCTCATCTTCCTATTTATAAGTGACTACTCATTTCAACATTTCAAATTTACCATAGAATTTTTCGAGCTCCCCTAGCCACTATTGTTTTGTTCTTTTATCTTTTTTTTTGTTTGATGAATAGGTTTCACATGCTTGACCAATAAAGATGTCTACCGGTTTTTCTTTTATTTATCAAAGCTAATCCTAATCCCAGTCGAGATTATTGTCGTAGCCATGTTCTACCATCTGTATCAAGGTTTGAATTGAGTACTTTTTTTTGAACTATGCATGGATTTTTGTAGATGAATTTCTAGATTAAATTAGGTTAAATATGTTGA